TTTACCTTTGTCAAGCTTCCTGTGTGATAGTTCATGTGATATCTACACAAACCTACGCCTAGCAATGTTCTTATTTTGTCAGCTAATCTCTCTCTCTCTCTCTACTAACAATGTTTCAGCAATGAATTTGAATGAAATAAAATCTAAACACAACCACATAAAGGATCCTCCTACATATTCGCAAACGCTAAGTGTATCACGTCTTTAAATTTACACAGACACAAAATGCACGTGGTTGACAAATCCAATTCACACTTCACGCTTGAATTGTTCTTATTACGTATTCTATTGTGCAACCACGCACGTTGCTTTTACGCACATTAGTCAACACAAGTCACCACATCAACTGATCACTCAGTTATCCTAAATTGATGTGCTATCACAAATACACACACCACATTGTATATTGAGTTTCACAGGTAGGTGAACAACTCCTTCCTTGTTCCACTGCTATATCAAACAGCCTCTAATAACCATGCTCGAAGCAAGTGACAGTGTTATATGTGTTATATATTTACTAGCAATATTAAGGAATTTATAACATATGTTTTATCACATGGATTCATTCTAAAACGTTTTACTGTAGTATGGCTAGCTGATTTTCAATTAATTTTAATAATGGTTGGCAAATGAACAGTGCATGAACCGGTGATCCTGTGTAGTGTGTTTCCTTTCGCACACCATTCGAACATGTTTTCTCAACTTTTACTGGTGTTTACTTGTGTTTTCAGTAGCATTATTAATTCGAAATAGTATTAAAGGGCGGTAGTCGTCGCGCTACGCATGTGCGACACTTGTGTTGATTAACATTGATTTTCCCACAATTCAATACGCGCTTCAATTGCAATCTCAAGTATGAGGTTTGACCTGGGCGCGACTTGTGCTAATTACCGCCGGTGACTCCTTTGATATCTTCCAATCACCTGAAAATCCTAGTTTGTACTCGTTGATCCGCGCAACAGTCAAAGTCGCCATCTTTGTTTATATGAGACCCATATATTACGCGCATGCGTGACGCGACGACTACCGTTCTTTAATTACAAAACTAGAACGGCAGAGCATATTAAAACCACTTTGCATATAATAAATGACAATCATGAATTCTCTATTGTCTGAATGTGTTTAATCTCATTTCCAATTTCACTACTTATATTAAACTACAAACTGTATAATTGTGACTGCATATTATGTGTACATCGGATAACCTCGCATTTATTCTGGCTGATACTGCTTCTGGTAAGATTAATTGTTTCATAAACCAAATAACATTTGTTTTCACTGATAGGTTAATAATTTTGTTGGAGCCTTTCACGATGCAGTGCTACTTTATGCTATTGCGTTGAACGAGACACTTAACGAGGGCAGTGATCCTAAAGATGGCTACAACATCACTAGGAAGATGTGGAATAGGACATTTGAAGGTAAAAATAAAATTCCCTGTGCAGCTTTATTCGGGAATAAACGTGATTTCATGTGATTAAACGTGATTATTTATGTAGCTCAAGAACTGAGAATATATGTAGGTGCTAGTTACTACAATTAATTTGATGCAAAATGTATTGACAATGTTAATTGTTATCAAGCAAACCTGGTTGGTTTACAGAATTCCCATTTTATCAGCTATCCGGTCGCTTTTATCCTGATCTGAGTGTTGTACCTATTAAAATTCGAAAATTTACTTTTGCCACGAAGCATCGAAATGATCTGAACCATAATATTGTACTTACTATTGTTGTTGTTCAGGGCTTGATTAATTGCTTCTTGGTTGTTTGGTACATATTTGTCACTAATAAATGACAATGATTTTCTAATGCCAGCAAATGGTTTCTCTGATATGTGATATTTAAAGCCCTATCTGTTTCCGTTTTGACCCATTGTCTTCAAGACAAATAGTAAAACATTATATTCGCCAATATATTCGCTTGTATATTCTGAGTGATATAAGTAGTAGAATTTATGTATGATTGGTAAATGCGTGATAATGAAGTAATTAAATAAATGATGTATAACATATTATGATGAACGATGTAAGGCAAATTAAACACATTGGAAAGGGTGAACACATTTTCCCAATCTTACTACGTCACCATATTCATCTAGTTCGTAATTCAACTGACACTTTATTTTTTATGGATATGAACCTTTAATTACGAAAAAAGGACAGAATATATGATTGGGGTAAATGTTACGGATGTTTATCATTTACAAGTTAACAAGAATTACTGGCACTAATGGAGAAAACACTTGATTTATCTTGTTTCGATTTGCTGTCACTTTTAATGTTGAGTGAATATACATCAAGTGATAGTTAGCATATTGGCATCGACTCTATATACGTAGTGTAACCAGTATAGGGAAAGCAGTGCATGTCATTGAAGAAATCGCAACTCTGGAATTTCGAGGAAACAAAAATGGTAATTTCACACTCAGTTTCCAATAGTAGTTAATATCATTGTCGCAGATGCAGCACACCATAAGCATATACATATGACGTAATGGCAGAACCCAAGTGCATTTTATTCAATAGAGAATTTTAACAATATAGCCTTTTAACATAATCCATAATACTAGTAAGTGTCATACACATAATGTATATAACCTGCAAAATTAACCTTATCTCTTGCATTCATTACTTTCTGAGAACACTTTTTGACAGTTACGTGTTTTGCGAAACGTGTTACTTATACATGCACTTTTTTTTCCAAAAGCAAACGATTGTGTCTTATCTTGTGCATCAGCCCAGCTGCCCATTTATATTCAGAATAGTTGATTTCACGTCATCAAACAACAATCCCCATTTATTTCCTTTACATTTATGTTGAATAATAACTAAGGCTATCTCTTGGGTTTCGCATGATAACGTGTTTGCGTATGCTTTGCGTTTTGTTTCTCACTAAACCATGTATGTGGTACTTCGATTTTGCAATCAGACTCTTGCTGTTTCTTGAAATCTTTCTAGCCAGACGGCGGCGGATAACGATTAGGTACAGAATGTATATGTTGTTGAATTAATGCTATCATAATCAATATAAATCACGGGTCACGACACGTCGGGTGTGTTAGCTATATACCCGGAAACAAATTGGAAAGCTTATTATAGACTGTAAAAGAAATCATTCATATACAAGATACTTCTAAAAAATAATGCTACTACAGTCATGTACTCGCTGTCTAATTTGGGCAATGGCCGAGATGTTCGTCTGTGCTCGCATTTGATTGAGAGACACGCCCTTTTTCCAGCAGTGTTGGAAAAATACGTTAATTGTACGATATGTTTGCTAGCACGGCAGATGACAAATGAAAATTTCACTACCCTTAGCTGTTAATAAGCAATGAAAAAAAAAACATTTTTTTCAAGCAATTCATGCAATGAATCATGTTGCGACGACATGAAACGGTGTATCAATTTTCCACATGAGGGAACATAACGGAGTAAAATAATGAAACATGGATAAAATGATACACAATCATATGATATTTCTTGCCAGACATGATATTTATTGAAATACGCTGAGAGGGAAATTACGTGAACATACTCAAATTGATTTTATTTTGTGATAGAAAGACTGTGAGTATGAACTTTAACCAATATGTGCAACTCTGAGAAAGCAGTTGACGGGAATTTTGAATACACATTTTCGCTAAATTTGTAAAGTTTTCATAAATAAAATGATTGATGACAATTTTCAGCCGAATTGAAACACGGACTGATATAAGGCGGACACATACGGTAATTCAATTGCATAGAAATCGACATGAAATTGTCCTAAATGTCTGTGTCAATATCATGTAATAAGCTCTACCTTAGCTAATCATATAGTAATTTAAAGTAATTCAAATCTGTGTATACCTTGTGAATGTTTTAATTTAAGCAGATAATTGCATAATTTGGTCATTTTAGTTGCGCTACGCAAACACAACGATGCATGCAAAATAAAAACGCATTCACGTCACTACTTCAGCACCGATATATGCGAAGATTGAAACACCGAATATAAAAAAAAGTTAGGTTTGAATTTTTTCAATATTTATCATTTTATTGCTCTTCTGATTACAGGAATCACTGGCAACGTTTCAATCGATGCAAACGGAGACAGAAATGCATACTACTCAATACTTGACATGACAGATCCGGAAACTGGGAAATTTGAGGTAATATATTACATATTATTTACGTGGGCCGATTTTTTGTTTTATTAAAAAAGAGAATGTCTCGGGTTACTGGATGATGATTTGACTCTTGTCTGGTAAAGTCAATTTAAAAGAATAAGGATATTCGTTAAGGGAGTGCATACTAGGTATAGTAAATTAATGCAAGTCTGAATTCGAAACACGTATTTTTTAAGCGTGAATATGCAATACAAACATCGCGTAATTCCCATGATGATATATCGAAGCAGTGTGAATGAGACGAAAGTGTATACGTAAATTACATATAAATATACGGAATGTTATAGGTCAACGTGCACAATATGTGAAATGATTTGCATATAACTGATTTACAATGCTACTGTAGTAACGTACACACTGTATGTAATTTTTGCGAGGAATAATATGTCGTCTATGTTTGCTTTTGATGAAAGGACACGCTCGTTATCCACCAGAGTAGCGAGCGTACATGAAATATACATTAGGTGTGCTAACATTGCGGATGGAAAATACACAGCCCTAAGCTGTTAGTAAACATCAGAAGATTATTTATTGTATCATCTTTTTGCACTTAAAATAGTTTGGGCACTTTCCACCAGGGAAGTAATTTCGAAAGACATGAAAAAGACGAGAAATTAACGTTTAATGATTTGACAAACATGTTGGCATTCGGGTGATGGGGAAAACCCTTAATATCCGTTGCCGTGGCGAATGAGCTAAAAGTGGTAAATTATATAATGTAATGCTGCCGGAATAAAATAATTATATCAAAGATGCAATGTGCACGAAAATAAGTATTTGTTGATACTGTATGTTGTTTGAAACTGTACATTGATGGATACATTTGACGGTGATATTTCGATTAAAAATTATCATTCTCTAATACGCATGCGCATTGGTTCTTTCCATCCAACAAATACTGTCGCGTGTCTTTCGAACGCAACATGTTTAGTTTATGGGTAAATCATAATCCGATTTAGTCTACAGTATGGAGATTATAATATAAATTTACTTCCATATTGCATTTTAGGGCCATGCAATCATATTCCAGTGAGTTACTACTAGTAATTAAAAACTACATGAATGTAATGCAAGGATGCTGCTTACGTGACCTCAAATATTTACGCAAGATTGTACTTGCACTTTCTGAAAAAACGTATCCCACGTACGAATGCAACTCGCAGAAAAAAATACGCCCATTCCATAGCCCAAACCAAACATAGATTAAAATGTCGTCCTGGCATAAGCGACCATGAAAACGCATAATAAAAACGCAATGGCTCATGGGTAGACGTTTGTTTGTAAACAACGACACATGCGCAGTTGACGACTCGCCCGCTTTAAACAAGAGACATAAAACACACAACATGCTTAATTAAGATGTTTTATGGCACGTTCATTTGTGGATGAATAAATGATTATTTTAAGATATTCTGCTCTAGATGCCATGTGATATGTTAACGCGCGAGTTTGACCTGAGAGTCACGGGGTAACTCACGTGTTATCCCTGCTGATTTGTGCACCATATAAATCGTAACAACACATCCTTATCGGAATAAAATCGAATGAAATTTGAAACATTGTTAAAGAAAACGGTTTTTACAAATTTACGTGATAATTTTGTTTCGTTTTTATTCGCTACAGCCTGTCATCAATATAGAATACACTGGTGCTGTTGGCGTAGTCGAGAAGGTTGGAATAATTCACTGGCCTGGGGGAGCCTCTGGTCCACCAGATGATGTTCCAGCTTGCGGGTTTTTCAATGAGTACTGCCCTGTCGCAGGTATGGCGCGCTTCATGTCTGGAGGCAGATTTTGATTTATATACTCGTTTTTATTAAGGATAATGCATTTTATTGCTGGAAATAAAACATGGATGAATAACTTAATACGTAAATGAGCTTAAACGTGTCGGATAATTTATGTGTAAGGCAATGTGATTAAAATAATTGGCTAGTTGATTTTTATATTCTTTCTTATATTAATTTAAATTAATATTTTTTTAGACGGTAATGGCGATAGTTGATAATACTAATAAGAAGTACATGAAAAATAAAAATAAATTACAGTAAAATGTAAATAAAAAAATATGTCATTTTGTGTAGAAATGAAAATACAAAAACTGCCATGTAATTGATTTTTTTTTTTAGTTTTCATGCGGTATATTATTTAAATAATTCTTTTTTTTCTTTCAGATACCTTTCCAGTCGCCGGCATTGTTGGAATCGTCATTGCCTGTCTTCTTATCCTTGCTCTTATTGTGGTAGTTTTCCTGTACAGGTAAATGACAATTTGCTAATAACTCCAACATTTACTTTATTTTTGATTGGAATTAGTTTTCGCTATTTTCGCAAAGGGAATGATTCAATGAAAATAAATTGTATACAAAACACCAAAAAAGGCTTTGCAGTGTAAATATTCCAGCTAAAAGAGTATTTTACAGTAGTTGTTCTTGTGTCATGCATTACTATCACATATTGAGTTATGCTTTGTTGTAATTAAATTTAACGACAGATATGACATTTTACATTTGAGATTCTTGGTGAATAACACATTTCCGGTCCAAATTATATATAATTTATCTGACAATGTATGAAAGTTTTAGTATATTTGATAACTTTACAGTAATATTACAACTAAGTATGTACACAGGCAGTAAAGTGATCGTATCGACCGACGCGTTACAGTACTACCTGGGTGCATACCTTGCAGTATTCTCGTGATAACATTATTATTATATACATTTTCTTGCTCGTAGTAGTCATATCATATCTGATACTATCCCAAAATTACAACGAAGACATTTCGCGTTCAGTGACGGGGATTTTATTCTCATCACGCGCTGATGGTGCTTTCAAACAAATGAAACTGTTCGAATGTAACAGAAAAGCGATGAACAAATACCAAATAAGTCATTCAAACGCGTACTTAACACTGTTGATTATGTTCGAACGGCATTTCACGAACGGGTAAATTCTATTGTGCTCGGTGTCAAATGTATGATACATAGTTGTATCCACCTTATGCTCGAAATTGACTTGCATGTGACCCGGATCAATTCCATAAAATAAACATTCGTTTTATTGCTATATGATTTGACAGAGTTCTCCTCGCCAGATTAAAATACCTTATACTGAGGTATATTCCCTATTTAAAATATACATGATTCTTATTACTATAATTCATCATCGTGCCCAATCCGCGTGCGAAGACGGGGTATGTTGTTTTCAATAGTTTCAATTGTAACCTTGTTTTAAAAGATGTATCAATATATTACCAACCCTTTTGTGGGAAACGTTAATAAAATAAAGCAATAAATCATCACAAGCGTACAATATGTCCGCAATATTCATTTATATATCGAACGATGTTGTCTGATATATGTGATTAGATCTAATATCTAAATATAATGATTGTGGAGAAAGGTTTTTTGAGAATAACAGCTGGAATTACGATCAATAAATAGAGAATGATTGCCATGTGTTTGTGACAGAGAATGTTCTCACAAATCTTCATATATTATTGTTGCAGGAACCTCGTTAATACTGATGGTTTTTTATTGAATATCAAAATGGGTTTAATGAATCAATTGATGTTCTTTCAGGAAATATAAATTGGAAAGTGAGATAGCAAATATGACGTGGAAGATTAAGTATGAAGATATAACATTCAGTCATGTCAACAAAAGTCGTTTTCTCTCGCTGAACGTCATGAATAAATCAATGCTTCTCGATGTAAGTCAATTGTTATGTGCGTTTTTTACATTGTCGTATCCGATTAATCAGACGACGAGAAATTGTTATAAATTGTTGTTCTTGGTGAACACGTGAAGCTGGTTGTTCGGAGCGAACTCATGTGTGGTCCATGGTATTGCAGGTAATTCATGTGTTCCCCGCAGTTATTCCTAATGTACTCAGGTTCCAATATGGTGCCTCTACGAATAGAAAGGTAAAAGTGTGGATACCCTATATGTTTGAAGAACCGCAGTCCAATGAGCAAATGAAATAGAGCGTTCGGATGTTTTTTCACGCGATAATCTGTTATTAATTTAGCAGGCATTTGCATTTTTTCATGTCTAATGCTGGGAAATCAGCCTAATAAATTTTACAATGGGTGAGCTTATGTGGATACGCATGTAATATTGAATTACTGTTTTCAGAATGAAGACGACATAGCAGAACAGCAGATTTTCGCCAATGTCGGACATTACAAGGTATATAACGTTTCGTACGTCTTTGTGAGTCAATAATAGTGTTCGTGTGTAACGCTCCAATTGTTAATTACATTATGTATATCATTTATGGAGGTAACATGGGGAGGGGTCAAACACATGTTAATGGTGCCAACGGCGTACTGTTTACGTTCCCACAAACTATTGATTGAAAATGATCGGTCTCAATATGACGAATACGTTCATAGCATAGCGACTGATATTACCTGCTGTCGTTATTATTGCTGGGATTTCTTTTGTGTATATGCAATTCATAGAACCACCTAAATCGTCGGCAATTTTCTAGGATTTTTTTTTATGTTCATGATAAAACTTTATTTTTTATATAGACGATTGACAATTGTAACTACAATATGTGCTCCATTTGTTCCAGGGTAGTTTTGTTGCGGTAAAGAAAATTCACAAAGAGAGAATAGACCTGAACAGAGATATACTTATTGAGTTGAAAAACGTAAGGATATGCGTAATTCTTCCTTTCGTGTTTCTTTGTTTAAAACATGTAATACCAAACCTCATCAAAAGCCGCTAGTTTAATTACACATTCACAACGCACCACTAACTGAGTACATGTCACCTGTACGCACGTGCTTGCTTTTACTATTCTACTGTTTACCTTCTTTTTTTTTCTTTTACTGAGTAATTTTGGAGTTACTGTATTAATCAGCAAGAAGCAAAGAAAGTGATGTATTACAGTCGAATATAGATAAAGCTCACTGATAGTCTGGAGTCAACTATTATTTATAGACATATAGAATAAATAGATTATACTGTTTTTATTATCCACCAATTAGATGAGAGAGGTTGAACACGGACATATCGTTCGTTTCATTGGAGCATGCGTAGATTCTCCCTGTATTGCCATAGTGACGGAGTATTGCCCAAAAGGCAGTTTACAGGTCAGTACAATTGCGAGTTAAAGCAATACATGATTGGTCAGTTAATGCTGAATAATGCAAAATAAATTCAAAAGTAAATATGTTATTTTTTGTATCATATATTTGTTTTGTGATTATATGTACCTGACGGTATACACGTTTTTCACCATATCAGGACATACTACAGAACGATTCGTTGCAACTGGATTGGATGTTCCGATATTCATTAATTAACGATATTGTTAAGGTAAAAACAACGGTATATTTTCATGTGATATGCAACTGTGATTTGATTATCAAATATCACGAATCAAAAGTTACTTACAATGAGACAACATCGTTATTATATTACACTCATTAGCAGATCGGGTGGTTTGGTATTCGCGTTGTGTTAGATAGCCCATCACAAAAAAATTAACATTAACATTAAAACATCGCATGAATTGTCGTGTTGTTTACATGATAAATACAATATCTTTATACCGCGATTGGTGAACTGCTTTTGTCCACAATGTCTGGTTATTCAAATCGTTGTCCAAAGACGAACATTAAGAAAAGCTACTTGCTCGTGTGCGCTGTAATTATACAGTGGGAAATTTACTACATTGGTCCTCCAGGAAAATAGAAAACGAATCAATGTACATCACAGAACGTAAGTGGTAATCTGACAATCACTATTTATCCCTACAGGGTCTTCACTTCCTGCATCATAGTGTCATGAAACGCCATGGCAACCTGTCTTCTTCGAACTGTGTTGTTGACAGTCGGTTCGTATTGAAGTTGGCCGATTTTGGCCTCGAGAAATTTAAAGCAAATAGCTCATCAAGTGACAATGCATTCGGGGAATTGACAAGTGAGTGTGTTATATACTCTCGTTTTCGGTAATGATGTTCAATCGCCGTTAACGTATACGTTTTATAGCTCATGACAATTACAATTATGAAACTGACAAGCTTCGCGATCACCAACCTGTTCCACTTTTTTAAATTAGTTAATGAGATAATGACATTTAATTGATTTCACCAAACTCCCGAGTCACTGTTATACGTGCGTTATTGGTTCATACAGCGGTTATATGCTCCCTGTGTACAGTTATTATATATAACAAGGGAAAACCCGTCGTCGAGTAAGTGGTTTTACCGTGTACGACACATTCACAAGTCCTATCCAATGACCCCGTTGTAATTTCCAATTATAATTATTAAAATTAGAAAAACTATGGGTAGCTCCAGAGGTGCTTCGGGATCCTGCTTCCACCAAAACACAAGAAGGAGACATCTTCAGCTTAGCTATTATTCTACATGAAATTGGATCACGCAATGCTCCATATGACGCCGAAACTGGGGATATGAGCGTCAAAGGTAGGCTGATATTACAATTATCCCATACTGACTGTGAATTGCATATATAACGGTGATGATCGTCGTACGGGCAGCGCGTTAGTATTTCGTGCAGTCAACCAAAACGTATACGTCGCATGGCACAACGATATTAGCCCTTTAAAGCACACCTCATCGTATACCTGTACGACTTACGCAAAATATATAATTTGCATTGATTTTGTAGATGAAATTTGAGCACGCGGTAAAATGTAACGACGGTGACGTTTGTGCATGATATCCGTTATATAGGAATAAAATCAACTTTACGTTTTCAACTCTCTCTCTCATAATCATAAAGTATTGTATTGCAAGCCTCAGTGGGCACAGTTTGGTAGGTTGGTGAGTGGTTTTGAATAGTAAATTTTTAATCAAACTTGGTATGAACATTTCACTCGGTGAGTTCATGTGGCATGTGGTTAACTTTCGCGATTACATTTAATATTCTATTTGTCTTTTTTTTCTTCATGATTTGTGCTCAATATACCCAGTTAAATTTGTGCATAGATACAGTCATGGTTTTATAATGAAAGTTTCTATACTATAATATGCAAATACCTGGTAGTAGTATCACACTTGGTTGGTTAATGTGTAACGTTTGTCCGTTTCACAAATTAATTAAATTTGCTAGATTGTTTGATTACTTGTTTGATTTTTCGGCACATCACAAGAAAGGGGGAGATCCCTGTTTATACCGCGTATTGAATTGGCAATATAATTCTAATTATTTAACTTATCCTAAACAAGTAATTAATTATACTTTAATTTAAGCAATTAACCATAGATATAGTATTATACCACAAAATAATGAAGACTGACATTTATTTTAGTTCACAGCAATATACAACAGCATTTAGCAAGGCTGGAAGAAAGGTACCATGTGGCGTAATGTATGTACATACATCCAGTTGTACGTAAACTATCATAAATGCAGTTATATTACCAAACTGATTTTGACAGCATTGATGAAGGGTGTTGGATGAATGGGGCCCTAGCAAAAATGACCATCCCCATAGCAACCGGTTAAATAGAAATAACGTCATTTCAGATGACAGAGTAGGACTGTTTATACGTGTGACTGTTCGTCATTCTCCTGACTGAACTGAAAAAAAAAACGGTAGTCTGATTTCCCTAACGGCTGATATGTGGGATTCTTGCCAAGAGCTCCATCGAAGTTGTTTATTTTATGTTAAATATATTCAATTCTCTGTTTAATAAGTAAATATTCCCTTTTAATAACAGTATTACACAGGACATGTTTTATATGTCTATGACTCTATTTAGGAAAAGATATAAAAATGCTGAATATCTTTATTTTTGTCATCTATAGTTGTTGACGATCGTCCTAATCAAGAGACAGGCCTTTAGTAATTCTGATCATTGTATTCTGTCAACATGTTTCAGTTGCAGTAGAAATTATCCAAGCATTTTTGTTGCCATTCTTGAATAATTATTATTTGAGTCATTTTTAGTGAACTATGTCTTGGGTGATACGCGATTACACGATTAAAGCTTCATGTCTGAACACCTAAGGCTGTGTAATAAAAGATTGTTAATTACAAAATATTACACGTCAAACCCCTTGGTATCGTTTCACGAGCAAATTTGATATTTTCAATTACTACGAATGAAACGGCGTAATATCACGGAATTGTTGTTTAATATCCTCGTTGCCATACTTGGTCTTACCAATGAATATTATCTGTAGGGCAAATAAAGATGATTACGTCGCTTTTTTGTACTAGATGCGGCACTGAAGGCGTTCTGTTAATGTGACATCGACACATACACATATTTTTTTTTTGGTGGAACATGGACAGCAATGTTGTTGATTTCAATTGATATTATTTTCCGCACGTTGACTGTGGAGAAAACAAGACCAATGGACTATTTCATTGAATATGGATGGCAAATTGTGATGTGAAAGTTTCTCCTTTTTAGTTATTAACTTTCGCAAACTGACGCAAAGCTCGTTCTCAATCGACTGTTGAACGCTAAGATAGAAAATGAAGTATACAAAGAAGTCGCTCAGTTGCCATAAACATTTGTGTGAACGTAAATAATTCGGGACATACAGTAACTATATTTTCAGTATATGGTGACTCGACGGATGCTGAATTATATATTTATCATAGAACAATCAGAAAGTGCCAATAAGAACATTCTATGTACGGTAAATTGATACTCTTACAGGAAATCACTCCCATAATTGTACAATTTATAAAATATCCGGTCTAAGAAATATTACACGTGGTAACAAATACTCCATTTTATTCTATATGTCCAGAGATAATTGAAAGAATAAAGAAAGGGGAGTCGCCGCCCTTCCGTCCCCAAATAGATCGAAATTTGTATCCGAATGAGGTTAGAAACCTAATGGAGTCTTGTTGGGAGGAAAACCCGAGCCTAAGACCAAATATCAACGCGATCTCAGCGACAATAAAAAAACTTAATAGGTGAGTATAGATGGCATTGCCGACTTTTTTGCACGTCTATGTTATGCACATGAAATCATGTACCAACCGTTACATATCTGATATGATATGAAGATATATTAGTATTATGGTCATAACATATCTACAGCTGGGCACTTGCGGAACTGCTCAAATGTTATCTTTTTAAACTTACCGAACAGCGCCATCATGTGTAAAAAAAAATATTCGGTACGAAAAGCTATTGTGAAATATTGAACAAATGTTAATTTGTAAAGTTAATTTCATTTTCCGTGTTTCAATGTTTATTATATTTGTTTATTTATTTATTTAGAAGCGAATCTCATTCCGATAATATCATGGATAACTTGCTACAAAGAATGGAGCAGTATGCAAATAATTTAGAAAGTCTCGTGGAACAGCGAACCGAGGCATTTCTAGAAGAGAAGAAGAAATCGGAGCAACTATTATACAGCATACTGCCAAAGTA